TAAGGAATCTCTGGCTGAAGGACCTAATGGCAATTCCTTCAATAACAGCTCATGGTGCGAGAAGGGATCTGTCAGACCCTTCTTGGCTGTTCCATACCCTTTGCAAGTCAAAGCTGACATTTCTAACATGATCTGAAAGGTAGAAATCAGTGACTGCAGATCAGGGAACGCTGGTAAATACAAACTCTGAATGATTCTCTACCAAGTGGCCTCTGTTTTAATGTTTGCTTTTTAACATGTGGGTTGTTTCACCAGGTAGCCTATAATAGTCTGTGTTTATAATCATTTAATGACATAATGTGGTTATAAAGATTTAAATTACTGTAGCACAGATGTAAAGTCCTGTGTGCACTGGAAGGTACTGAGAGCAGGATTTCACTCTGGGAAGTGTTAGAAACAGTTTTCTTGCCAAGTCAGTCATCCTAGTCATGGCTAACATGTAGTAATTGAGAGTGTCAAAGGCAACTTACCTCCCATGTTTGAAGAACAATGAGCCAATATGACAACCTTTACCAAAAAAGTGATGAAGAAATCTACTTCCTCTAGTGAGTCATTGAGGGTACATGTTTAATTAGATTAAAAATGATTGGTAGAGATTAGTAGTGTTGGTACTGATACCCAAGTACCTTGGTTTTACTGGTCCTCAAAAGCAATGGGTTAAACTTCTTGTTACCATTACCTGTTTTAAAGTTTTGCTGAAAATGTTTAAAGGAATTTGGAGTTCAGGGTTTCTGTTGGACCTGTTGCCATAATATTTTGGAAAAAAAATTAAGGTTATTAAATTTATTCTGTGCGCCAAGTTGTCCCAAGGCTAACATTCTGATTTTAACTGTTGATTATCTGCACTAGCAGAGCATCAGGTAACTGGACTGTTGAGTTTTTTCAAGTGGTAGTTACAGTTCCTGAGCCTGTTCAGTTGTACAGTTCAAACTTGTGCTCCAGACCTTCCCCCAGCTCCATTCCCTTCTCTGGACATGCTCCAGCTGCTCAATATCTTTCTTGTAGTGAGGCCTCAAACCTGAACACGGGATTCGAGGTGCCTCACCAGTGCCCAGTACAGGGGGACAGTCACTGCCCTGGTCCTGCTGTCACACTATGGCTGGTACAGACTAGGATGCCATTGGCCTTGGCCACCTGGGCACACACTGGCTCATGTTCAGTTGCTGTCAGCCAGCACCTCCAGGTCTTTTTGTACTGGGCAGTTTTCCAGCCACTCATCCCCAAGCCTGTAGTATTGCATGAGATTGTTGTCACCCAAGTGGAGGACTTGGCACTTAGCCTTGTTCAACCTCATGCAGTTGGCCTCAGCCCATAGCTCCAGCCTGTCCAGATCCCTTTGCAGAGCCTTCCTGCCCTCTAGCAGATCAACACTCCCAACCCAACTTGGTGTCGTCTGTGAACTTCCTGAGGATGCATTCAATCCTCTCAATCCCTTTGCCTTCCTGCCCTCTAGCAGATCAACACTCCCAACCCAACTTGGTGTCGTCTGTGAACTTCCTGAGGATGCATTCAATCCTCTCATCCAGTTTGTTGATGAAGATGTCTAGCAGGACTGTCCCAAACACTGAGGCCTGGGGACACCACTGGTGATAAGCCCCAGCTGGATGTAACTCCATTCCCCACCACTCTGGGCTTTGGTCAGTTTTTTGCCTAGCAAAGAGCACACCTGTACAAGTGATGAGCAGCTATTTTCTCCAGGAGAGTGCTGTGGGGTATGGTATCAGAGGCTTCAGTAAAGTCTAGGTAGGTGACATCCACAGCCTGTCCCTCATCCACTAGGCAGGTCAGCTTGTCATGGAAGGAGATCAGGTTGGTCAGGCAGGACCTGCCTTTCTTAAACCCATGCTGTTTGGGCCTGATCCCCCAGTTGTCCTGCGTGTGCTGTGTGACCACACTCAGGATGATCTGCTCTGTAACTTGCCCTGGCACTGAGGTCAGGCTTATAGGCCTGGTCTTCCCTGATCCTCCTTTCAGCCCTTCTTGCAGATGAGTGTCACATTGGAGAGCCTCCAGTTTTATGGTACCTCCCTGCTTAAGCAGAATCAGATAAATGGTAGAAAGTGGCTTGGCTACCTCTTCTACCAGCTCCATCTGTCCCCATGGACATGCGTGTGTTTAAGTGGAGCAGCAGGGCACTGACTTTGCTCTTGGATTATGGGCACTCCATTCTGCTCTTCATCTCTGTCTTCCAACTCCAAGGGCTGAGTATCCTTAGGATAACTGAGTCAAAGAAGGCATTAATTACTTCAGCCTTTTCCTCATTCTTTTTGCAGTGATTCGCCCTGCATCCAGTAAAAGATGGAGGTTGTCCCTGACCCTCCTTTTGTTGCTAATGTATTTATAATTTGTATAATGCCCAAACTAAGTCCTAGCTGGGCTTTCACCTTTCTGACTCCACACAGATATCCTTGGCACTGATGGTTTCTGCTGTTGCTCAGGATTTTGTTTTTGTGTTTATTGCCTGTTTGTAGAATTGGGATAGTAATTATTTGTCTTAAAGGCGTGTAAATATTTATGTTTACATACTATTATGAAGGCACAGTGCTGTGCAAATGTTAAGGCTTTTGTTTGTACAAGATCAGTCTAAATATTCTAGTACAGCTTTTCAAACAAGAAAGGAAGCTTTTGTGACATTTGTGTTTTGAATTCTCATGGTTGCACACTAATTTTTGTGTAGATGCTAAAATAAGAGCTGTTACAGTAAGCAGGAAACTCCAGTGCCCTCTGTTTAGAGTGCTCTGAAGGGAGAGTCATCTAAAATGTGTGGCTGTAGAAATGCTGCTGAAGATGATGAAAAAGCCTGGAGATAATCCGATAGTCATTAAGATTAAAGATGAAGATTAAGAGCCCAAATCGGCCTTTTGGAGATATGAATGTAGAAATAGGAGACTTCAGCTGATCTCTGTAGGTCAGCAGGATTTATGCTGGATTTTCTCTTCTGATTTTAACAAATGTGAATGAATTCAGTATGGAAAGGAGTTCAGTTCTGTGCAGCTGTAAAGCATAATTATTTTTAGCTCGTCTAGTTCCTTTTGCAGCTACAGGTTGGCTGGACTAATAAATCCAAGGTGGCATCTTGGTTACACAGTTTTGGCTAATATGTTCTAAAGTGTACTTTAATTATTTATAGTATTTTTGGGAATGTGGTGATGAGCATTTAGGAATGAGGCAGTTATTGTGTCCTGATTTTCCTAGATTTATATTTATATATATAGTATGTATGCTTTTCTTTTAGAAATGACTGTGTGTTGGAGGTGCATTTCATGTATGACCTGACTTCCTTTCCCAGCAGTGTTTTCTCTATTTTTTCTGTGTGCTTACGAGCCAGAAAATGCTGATAGCAATAAACTGAAGAAAAGACATAAATATGTCTTTAAAAAATTTCTAATATGCTGCAAGTAAAGTCAGCTGTAAAAGGCAAATAAAAGTTTGGTTAGGTAACTTAAATTGAAATGAAAAATGTATAAATTTGGTCTGTAGTGACACTTGTACAGAGTATGTGAAATTGGCAGTTGAAGTGGTAAATTGCATTAAAGTAGTTCATGACACTACAATATTCAGGTCATTTTTGTATTCTAGCAAATGACTTCTCTTTCTGCATTTGTTTCCCAGTCTAATCCTTTGCCTGTGTGTTATTGAATTCCATTACACTGCTGTCATACCACTTTTCACTTTATCAGGATGGTTCTCCATTGCCATAGTACTTTTTTAAGGTTGTGGGGTTTTTTTTGTTTGTTTGGTTTGTTTGTTTGTCTGTGGGTTGGTGGGTTTTTTGGTTGGTTGGGTTTTTTGTTTTGTTTGTAGTTTTGTGGGTTTTTTGTTGTTTATTGGTGCTTTTTTCCTCCCAGATTTTGCCAGTGGCAGTTCTGGAAAGTGTATTCTGTATTCCATTGTCTAAATCATTAATGACAATGTTGAATAAAAGCAGACCCAGCAGACACATTTTCTTGCAGGAGCTTCCAGTTTGACAGGGAGAAGTTGGTAGCTTCTTGTTTGAGTGCAGCAGCCCAGCCAGCTGCTCGTTCATCTGATAGTAATGTAATTAAACAATACAATAATACCATTAAATACCAAAAGTTGCATTGTGCAGCTGTGGCAAGTATCTTGGTGAAAGTAAGGAACTTCACATTGACCATCCCTTGTGAATTCTGTAAACCTTTAGGAGAGTTGTGGGGGAGTGCTTTGATTTTGCATTGTTTTCCATGAAAAATCCCAGTGAGTGGTTGTCACACTGTCTTGTGTGTTAATAACTTGGTGTGTTGTGAGGTATTGAAAAAGGGGTGACTCATCTGCATTTCCTCAGATGCTTTCTGCTTTGTCAGAGGAAAAGAGATTGGTTTCCTCTCTGAAACCAAGACAAACCAGAGAAAAATCTGGTAATACATGATAGTACATGGCAAAAACTCCAATTAATTATCCCTTTGTTGAAAGATTTCAGTCATCTGTAAATATATTTGAAATAATGTTGTATGTGTTAGCATAATCTATTTCATATTCATCATTGTTCTAAAAGCTAAAAATTACATTCTGTTTTAGTGCCTCGTGAAATAGTTTGTCAGTGTATAGAGATTGGTTAGACTGAATTGTGGTATGTGTGACTGTCTGCTGATGTGTGCAGTGTGTGCTGGGATATTGATGTTACAGCTGCCTTCTGCTGTCTGTATTCCATCAGGGATGAGACTGCTGTGGAGAAGTGCAGAGCCACAAAAACTTTGCCGTCATATCCATTCCTGGGAATTGTGATGGGTGCTCCCAGTCACAGACTCTGCTGGTAGCCAAGGAGAGTGTGGGTCTGGCTGGCTGTAGCATAGACAGATGGTTCAAGTTACTTCCTTCTGCCTTTGGCAGTCACTTCCACAACTACTTATTTATTTGTGGAGGGGAAAAAAAGGCATGGTAACCATGAGAAGAAGTTGTGCTGGCAGTTAGCCATACTGTTGGTTTTATATAGAGAGCTTTAATGTTCAGTGTGTTTAATTTATTCTTTTTTTCTTTTGCAGTAATCCAAAGTCTGCTAATCAGAGGATAAACAAAAAAGTAAACAATGATGCATCATTAAGGATTCAAAATTTGTCTATTTTGGTGAAACAAATAAAAACTTACTATCAGGTTGGTAATTGTCTCTTGTATTATGTTTTGCCTGGAATTATTTGTAAATGTTCTTCTATAGTTATGTCTTTAAGGGGGACAAAAGTACCTGGTCAAATTTTTCATCATGGTTAATTTACAGCTATGGTGGCAGTGTGGAAACACTTGTATGTGAATGATGATCTGTTTATATAATAGATACTCTGTGTGTTCAATTACTCCTGTAGTACATTAAGTACTCTTGGTGGCTGTTTTCTGAATTGAAGCAAGTTTCGTGCCTGTGAGAAAGATCATTACTTGTGCTTTTAGACCTGTCAATGGAATTTTTGTAAGAGAAACGTGGTGGAATTTATTTGGTTTAGAACTAATTCTATTTTCAATAGGAGAAAATCAGTGAGGCAATGACAATCTAGTGGACATTCGTAGTGAATGCAGTGAGGATCCAAGTCAGAGCTGTAAAATAGCCACTGAAGTTTTGTGCTATAGGTATGAACTGGTACTGTGCCTTCTGGATGCAGACCCTGGATAGAGTGCTGTACACATGGACATATCACTGCAGGTATCACCCGTGTCCCTCGCAGTGTGGCTTTTAGTGCCCTACCACACTTCCTGCTCCGTTATGCTGGGAGAGTCCAGATCTGGGAGAAAACCTTTCCCTCCCCCTGTGCATCCTGGCCTCGCATGCACTGATGTCTGCTGCTCCTCACATGTACACACATACTGTGTGCTTCCCAAAACTCCCAGGCGCAGTGAGAATTCCCAGCTGTCGGTGCCGTGACCATCCACTGCACGTCTTCCTAGCACTTCCCGTGTGCTCATACCTCACACCATTCTCTTCTTGGCAGCCACTATGCTGCCTGCTAAGGCCCATATGCTTTTTATTTTCCTAATGGAAGTCATTTTCGACCAGGCATTAGTGTTTCACAACTGGTGCAACAGAAGGCACAAACACTGACAGAATTGATCTTTATTGGAATACAGAGCATTCCCTGTGCTGCATTGACCTCGAGGTATCAACCAGTCCTAGTGCTCTAGTACCAGGCAGAATTGCTGGCATTTAGGTACCTTTGAATGATTCAGGATTGTCCATGTTGCTCCAAATCTTTGTGATAGAAAGAATATTTTAGCTTTTTTTTTTAAAATAAAAAGTATCCTTAAGAAATGTTAAAAGCAGTCACCATGACCGTAACAGTGCCACCTATCTTGAACTGCACTTTTACTTGGTTTATACACTTTTCCCCTCTTT